ATAATAATAATAATAATAATAATAATAACATATAATCTTTACAGAAGCAGATGGCCTCACAGCTCTCCCTCAGAGTGGCTGGTGGCTTTGAACTGGCGACTTTTTGGTTTGCAGCTGACTGTTTCATCACTGTACCACTACTGCTCCTATTACAACAATAAAGTAAAACCTACAAAACCTGGAATTTATTTGAGAAGGAGAATGCAAATATAGTCTACTGAAATGAGCAATCTCATTGTTGTTGGGTTGGAACCAGCTCACCACTGACCTTCCGCTGGGCAGCCAAAGACGTAAATCACACAGGAGGAGGCCACCCATCTCTCATCCTCAGAGTGGCTCGTGGATTTGAACCACCGGAGAGACGCTGTCTTTGCATTAGCAGTGTCACTCCCTAGCGATTAGGCCCCTGGAGCTCCCACAGTGAACTCCTGAGACACGGTATAGCTTCACCTGTCAAAGACAGCAAACCGTGGACATCCAGAGAAAGCCAGCAAGCTCGTGTTTCACCGTAGGATCTTCTCTGCAGATACCTACCGGTTTGATAAGGGCTGGAGTTCAGGAAGTACTTGCTCACTGTTAACACACAAAGGTCTGCTCTCCTCAGGTAATCTGGCCTCTCAACCAAGTGCTGCCCTGTGCAGCTCTTGCCCCGTTACCCACAGCCCCCTCTGGGCAGCAGATGGCAGCCTGGCCTGGCAACCAGCTGGTGTGGTCTCCATACACTCTTGGTCACTTGTTTCCTCTGTTCAATGATAACCAGGAAGGCACCGTGTTCTCCAGGCCTTGTGCTCAGCTCCAAGCAGCCCAGGCATCTGTGATTCTCTGCTCCTCACACTAGCTGGCCGGCAGCTGACCAGAGGTGAGGGTCCCAATCACGCACTGAGTTCATGCTGGTGAAGAGTTCACACAGGGCAACGCACGGGAAGAGTGCGGTGGGTATGAGTAACTCTCGTTATTATGTGAGAGCAGGGGGTCAGAGACCCTGGTCCCCCATCCCATTTTTTTAAATTTTCCTGCCTTCTTCATTCCTCCAAAGGTCGTAGGAGCCAGGGACCAGGTAAGACCGTGATGGCCTAGTGAGTAAGGAATTGGGTTGCTAATCTGATGGCACATGGTTCAAATCCACCAGCCACTCCACAGAAGAAAGACAGGCAGCCTCTTAACTGGAATTTGTAGCCTCTGAAAACTCCACTGGAGGTTCAGCTACTATTCGTTTCCAACTTGACGGTACAGAAAGGCGGGTGAGGGGAGGAAGGCACTGCCCAGTTCATGATCCTCCTGATGAAGGTGAGGGAGGCTCAGGGCCACGGCTATACGGCAGCTGTGTCCCCATCAGTTGTGGACTGAACCATGTCCTCCCCAGATGGAAACAAAGGTCCTGACTGCTGAACCAGTGAATGAGATCCTGTTCTGTGATGCTGATGAGGTCAGACCTGGTCAGAGAGGGTCCTAACGGCCGACTTCTGAGTTACAGAAAGATTAGAGCAGAGACGGGGAGATGTCATGTGGAGACAGGCGCACGCAGCATGTGAGTACGAGGCCAGGAATGCCAGACTGTGGCTATTAGAAGTGGACGTTCTGAATTTGAACTTGTAGCTTCCGAGGCCACGAGAAAATAAGAACGTGCTTCTTCAAGCCATGCACATGCGGGATTTGACTTACTCCCTGACCTCCACGTGGAGGGGCCCTGATGCTGAACCCTGATCACCCCATAAACCGGTCTCAGACAGGCCCTGCCAAGACCTCCAGTGCCCTTGGAGCCCCTGGGCTGTGCTGAATGTTGTTTCTGGACAAAGTGTCTCCTAGGTTGGTGGCTCAGCCCCAGGGACAGAGGTGTGGTGGCCTCAGGGTCCAGCCTGGCCTTAGCCCAAGCAGCAGGTCCTCTGTGCAGTGGTCACGGGGCAGCCCAGGTGCTATCATCTACTGTCCAGTGTTCCCTGACTTGGAGACGACTTACACTTACCCAGGCCCAGGTTGGAGATGGTCTGCAGGTCTGTGAAGCTTCGGGCCTCAAGGATAGCCGGGGGCAGCCTCAGCGTGAAGGGCAGTAAGTCTCTGTGGAGACATGAGGGGTTGGAGGTCAGGTCTGGGGAGGGTCCTCCTCAAAGCCACAGCATACACAGAAGAGCTATCAAATCCTTGTTGGTCGCTATCCCCAGCCACGTGTCTGCACAGATGGGGGCGACTTGCCTGGGGCTTCACTGGGCAGCTGGTCCCATCTGGTGTCAGGGGGCAGGGAGTGACCTGTTTCAGAAGTGGGGGGTCGGGGTGGGGAGTGTCACTGCTTCTGTGTGGTTTTCCTGGCTCGAAAGACGAGCCCCAGCCCAGCTTCTTCTAAAGGCACGATTCTGGGCAAAGTGAGGGGTCTCTTCACCCTTTGACCCTCACTGTTCTACACAGAACTCGCTGAGGCGCACAGCACTTCCTGGTGGGCGCAGACCTCAGTCAAGGGCACAGTCAGGCGGCTCTCGGGGAGCCCACAGGCAGGCTTCACTCGGTAAGCACACAGTCAGCATGCAGCAGAAGGCGCACAGTCAGGCTCCATTTGGAGTGGCACAGTCAGTCAGTCAGTCCCCAGAGAGCACACAGTCAGCCTTCACCAGGGGTTTACAGTCAAGCACCCCTGGTGATGCCAGATGAGGCAGCCCTCTCTGTCCAGAGCCCTCATTCGGCAGAGAATTGCCCAGGGCTCATGCTGGCGACTTCCTGGATGGGAATCAGGCACCCTTGCTGCTCCCGTAAGGAAACTGAGGCCTGAGACGGGAAGGGGTGTGTGCTCCGCCTCAGAGCTCCAGGCTTCACAGCCAGGGCTTGTTCTACACATCCAGGTACCCACGGTGCGCCCCAGTTCTCTGCCTGGTGCTGGCATTCAAGACTCATCAGCATCTGAGCCCCTTCCCAGCCATAATTCCCACAGCTCTCTCACTCTCCAAGCAGCTCTATGCTCTCAACTGCACCGAGGGTCCCAACCCCCTTACAGACAGAGGAGATGGCTGAGAGAATGCAGTCCTTAGCCCAGGGCTAGTCCCCTGGCTGCCCTTGTCATTCCTTCTTTTTTCTCCAAACTCCATTCCACACGCCGAGTCCTCGCCCAATTATCCTCCAGCAGAAAGCCTTCCAGGGTGGCCCAGCCACTAAGCAGGGGGTGCTGGTGTCCCCCCCCTTTCTTCCTCATCCTGGTTGTGGCCTCCTCATCATCCTGTCACACAGACTAGAAAATCCTGCACCCCCCTGCTCTCCTGTGCTCTCCCTACTGCCCTCTACAATGGCTGCCCACTTCTCTCTGCTCCCCCCGGCTCTGTCCAGGGCAGCCTCCTCCTCATGGGGCTTGGATGGCTGCTGTGGCTCCAGCCTCATCTCCACTCTTCCCTGGCTGTAAACTCACTTCCTGCTGCAATCACCAGAAGGGTAAGAACTGCGAACCATCCAGTTAGCAGGGGAGTGCGAATGCCAGGACCCACAGGTGACGCAAGGTGCACTAAGAGCACACATCTGGAGCATCTAGCGTCCCCTGCCCTGCCTGCGTGTTTGGTCCCAAAAGATGCTGTTGGCCAGGGTCTCAGGATGACAGCAGCAAGGAACTCCAGGATGTTAGCGTCCACCCTGCCTAACATCCCTGGCTCGATGAGGCAGCCGGGTCAGCAGAGTTTGGGTGAGCTGCCCAAGGTCGTGTATGAAGGAGCTGATAGCCTAGGGCTCTTCCTCCACTGGCCCCTCATGGTCCCTCACTCCTGGGAGCGCACAGGCTCTGGCTTGGACCTGACCACCCCCTCAAATCCAGGGACGCTGCCCTCTGCATCCTGTGACCTCTTCAAGTTCCCCAGAAGCCTTTTGCAGGGTGAATCTGCTTCTCCGAATCCCCTTTTCACTTGTTGGTTGTGTTTAAAACTCCCAGTGGATTTTGTGCATTGGCCCCGCATCCACCTGCCACCATGCTGAACTATTTATTCCTTCTCCTAGCTTCGCGGAGGCTTTCCTGTGTATATGATGATGTCATCTGTAAAGGGATAGTTTTACTCTTCCTTCCTCATGTGGATGCTTTTTCTTCCCCAGCCCTGCTGCTCTGGTTAGGACTTTCAGAATGATGAGCAGAGGTGAGTGGGTGAACCGTCCTATTCCTGACCTCCGGGGAAGCCCTCCTGGGTCTCCTGGTATCAGGCTCTTTGGATGGTGTGGCAAAGCAGGAAGGGGAGGAGAGCCTGTGGGTGGCAGTGGTGACCTAGGGGACTGTGGCAGCGGTGTCCCTGGTTGCACATGTAGCTGCTGCTCCAGCCATGGCTCCCTGCATGGCATGGTCCATGGTGACGTAACCAGGGCACCTGCTGCTGAACACTGGCCATGTGCCCTCCCCGCACGTGCAATTCTCTCCAACATCTACAAGGCCATCATTCCCATTCCACAGAGGAGCAAGCGGAGGTCGAGAGAGATCAAGGAACTGTGTCACATTCTGGAGTTTGCAATGATTCACTCACTCAGTCACACGCCTGTCTCGTACTGTGAGTATACCGGCTAGTAAGAGAAGAATTTCTTAGAAAAAGGAGTGAAAGAAATGAACCTATATCCTCCTCAGGGTTCAATATTCACAACACACTAAGGGTCAGAGAGGTTCTCTCTTGTTTCACTGACGGGCAAATAACTCTGTTTTGTCATTATTGTTAGGAGTTTCTGAGTTGGCTCTGACCCACAGTGACCCTGAGAACCACAGAGCATAACACTGCCCCTTGTGTGCCACCCACACAACACCTGCTGGGTCCGAGGACATCTCTGCAGTCACTGTGCCAACCCATCTGCTGGGGGTCATCTTTACCATGGACAAAGAAGGCCGAAGAAGAGTCCATGACTCTCTATTGTCTTGGCAAATACTACACTGGATACGATGTGGACTATACCATGGATTAAATTGCGTGTCCCCCTCAAAAAATACATGTATGTAATGATATTATCAAGAAACAGCATTTGATATTTTAAATGATACAACCTTTGAGCTGTGGTGTTGGAGAAGAGTGCAGACTATCCCACGGACAGCCAAAAGTACAGACAAAAATGTCTTGGAGAAGGTGCAGCCAGAGAGCTCCGTGGAGGCAAGATGATAAGGCTTCATCTCACATCCTTTGGGTCTGTTGCTAGGAGAGGCTGTTCTTTGGAGAGGGGCATCAGGCTTGGCAAGGTGGAGGGTCAGTAGAGGGAGGCAGACCCTCAACCAGGTGGACTGACACAGTGACCGCAGCAGTGGGCTCAAGTGTATGAGAGATGACGAGGACGGCACAGGACAGGACAGGGTGCAGGTCTGTTGTTCACGGGGTTGCTGTGATTTGTAGACTACTCAACGGCACCTACCAACAACAACAGTGATATAATGTGGGAATTATGCAATGATTCTTCTATGAGGTGATAAACCAAATAGCTGGAGAAAGATTAACGGCGGAATGCAGCCATCTTTCATTCCTGTCACAACCCCAATCGACATAAGGGGAGCTTCTCGAGGGTGTGTGGCCGGTGATACCTCTTACCTAACTGGAGATAAAAGGGAAGGAAAAAGATCCAAGAGTGGGGGACCTCACCGTTACTAAGAATTGCCAGGAAACAATGAATGAATGGAAACCTAATGGCTCTGTAAATTTTCATTGAAATTAATAATAAATTTTTTTTTTTTTAAAAAAGGAATTGCCAGGAGTGGAGTGCATCTTGTTGGGCTCAATGCTCTTTGAGAGGAAGGTTCTTGACACCCAGGAAGGCCAGAAGACACAGAGGTCCCGAGGAAGATCTCAAGGACTTTCTTCCAGAACCTACAGGGAGATAGGGAGGGTCTCCCATAGAAGTGGCATCCTAAATTTGGACTCACAGTCTCCCAAACTGTAAGAACTTCCAGCAGTTCCCTATCTATGTATTATTCTAGCTGTTTTTGAATGATCTTCAGCGGTGTTTTGCTAGCATGTGATATTAATGATATTGTTCGAGAGTTTCCACATTCAGTTGGATTACCTTTTTGGGGAATGGGAACAAAAGAGTGACCTCTTCCAATCTGCTGGCCAGATAGCTGTCCTCCAAATTTCCTGGCATAAACTGGTAAGCTTATCCAAGGCTGCATTTGTTAACTAAAACATAATTGGTATCCCATTGATTCCTGGGGCCTTATTTTTTGCCAGTGTCTTCAATGCAGCTTCTACTTCCTCCTTCATTACCACTGGCTCCTGTTCATACAGTACTTCCTGAAATTTTTCAGTGTCAATTTTTCTGGTACAGTGACTCTGTATTCCCTCCAACTTCTTCTGATGCTTTCTGGACCATTCAATATATTGCCCACAGCATCTTTCAATATTGTGACATGAGGCTTCAATTTTTCAGTTCTCTCAGCTTGAAAAATGCAGAGCGAGTTCTTTCCTTTTTATTCTCCAATTCCAGCTGTCTGCACATTCCATTATAATACACTGCTCTGTCTTCCTGAGCTGCCCTTTAAATTTTCTGTTCAGCTCTTTCACTTCAACATGTTTTCCTTTTGTTTTGGCTTTTTGATGCTTCAGTGCAATCTTTAGAGTCTCTTCTGACAGCCATTTTGATTTTTACTTTCTCCTCTGTATTTGTAATGACCTTTTGCTTTCTTCACGGATGATATTCTTAATATTATCCCATAACTCATCTGGTCTTTGATCATTTGTGTTCAATGACTCGAATCTACTCTTAAGATGATCTTGAAATTCAGATGGAACTGATTCAACATGATATCTTATTTCCTACGCACTTATTTTCATTTTCTTCAGCCTTGAATTGAACTTGAATATGATTAATTGATGATCTGACCCACACTCTGCCCCTGGTCTAGTTTTGACTGCTGATATTGAGCTTCTCCAATGATTTCTCCTACAAATGCAGTCAATCTGATTCCTATGCAGCCCATCAGGTACCAGAAGAATGTCTATTTCTGCTTTATTGACTATGAAAAGGCATTTAACTATGTGGATCCTAACAAGTTGTCGCTGATATTGAGAGGAGTAGAAATCCCAGAGCATTTAATTGTGCTCCTGTGGAATCTATACCTGGACAAGGTAGCTGTTGTACAAACAGAGAGGGGAAATACTGCATGGTTTAAATATTAGGAAGGGAGTGTATCGGTGCTGTATTCTTTCTTCATACCTATTCAATCTGTAAGCTGAGCAAATTATCCGAGAAGCTGGACTCTACGAGGAGGAGCGTGGCATCAGGATTGGAGGGAGACTCATTAATAACCTGTGTTATGCAGATGACACCACCCTGCTTGCTGAAAGTGAGGAGGACTTGAAGTACTTGTTGCAGAGGATCAAGTAATGTAGCCTTTGGTATGGATTGCATCTCAATGTCAAGAAAACAAAAATTCTTACCACTGGACCAATAGGCTGGAGAGGAGATTGAATCTGTCAACAGCTTCATCTTGCCTGGATCCACAATTAACACCCTTGGTACCAGCAGTCAGGAAATAAGGAGACACACTGCACTGGCAAAGTGTGCAGTTAGGGACCTCTTCAAATTATTAAAGATTAATGATGTCAGTCTGAAGACTAAGGTGCGTCTGATTCAGGCCATGGTCTTCCCAATCACTTGCTATGCATCTGAGAGCTGGATAATGAATAAGGATGACAGAAGAAGAATTGATGCCTTTGAGCTGTGGTGTTGGAGAAGAGCACTGAACACCCCATGGTCGGCCAAGAGAACGAACAGATAGATATGTCTTGGAGAGGGTGCAGCAGGAGTGTTCTTTGGAGGCAAGAATGATGAGGCGTCTCCTCACATACTGTGGGCATGTTGCTAGAAGGGGCTATTCATTGGAGAGAGATGATGCTGGGAAGGGTGGAGGGTCGGCGAAGGAGAGGAAGACCATCAACCAGATTGACTGACACAGTGACTGATGCAATAGACTCTTTTGTGTTAGAAAGTGTGAGAATGGCACAGGATAGAAGAGGGTTCAGCTCTTTTTTTCACAGGGTCCCTATGAGTTGTGCTTGACTTGATGACACCCAACAACAACAAACTATGAGAACGTTTCTGTTTGTTAAAGCCATCCCCTTGTGGTATATCTGTTACAGCAGCATTTGATGACTAAGACAGACGGCCACAAGAACAAGCAAATCTGTTGAGGAAAAAGTGCACGCAGGTTGTTCCTTCGAAGGGAGGACGGTGAGACTTAGAAGCGAGGAGGCCGAGATCTGCCTCACATATCTTGGGCATGTTATCAGGAAGGACCAGTCCTTGCAAAAGAACATCATTCTTGGGAAAGCAGAGAGTCCGTTTAATAAGAGACAAAGACCTTCAACAAGGCGGATTGACACAGTGACTGATACAATGGGCTCTTGCGTGTCAGGAAGTGTGAGAATGGCACAGGCTAGAACAGGGTTCAGATCTTTTGTTCACAGGGTCCCTTGAGTGGTGCTTGACTTGATGACACCCAACAACAACAAACTATGAGAATGTTTCTGTTTGTTAAAGCCATCCCCTTGTGGTATCTCTGTTACAGGAGCATTCGATGACTAAGACAGACAGCCCCAAGAACAAACAAATCTGTCGAGGAAAAAGTGCACGAAGCGAGGAGGCCAAGATTCCACCTCACATATCTTGGGCATGTTATCAGAAGGAAAAAGTCCTCGCTAAAGAACATCATTCTTAGGAAAGCAGAGAGTCCGTTTAATAAGAGACAAAGACCTTCAACAAGGCGCACTGACACAGTAACTGCAACCAAGGTTAAGGACAGCAAGGCCGTGCAAATGGCTGAGGACTGGGCAGGGCTTCGCTCTGTTCTGTTCAGGGCCGTTAGGAGCTGAAATCAACTTGATGGCAGCTAACAACAAAGGGAGCTCTGGTGGCCGAGTGGTAAGAAGCTGTGCTGCAAATTCAAAGACACATGGTTCAAATCCCCCAGCTGCTCCTTGGGAAAGGAGGGGCAATCTCCTCCTGTGTGATTTACCACCTCTGAAAACCTGCTGGAGGGGCCGCTATGGATGGGTTTGACTCGACAGCATATACCTGTAAGAACAACTCCCTTATCAAGAAAATGCCTTTCTGCTTGTGAGAATGATCGGAAGACGGCCAGACTCAAAGAGTCTTTGTGGTGCACTGGTTAAACACTGGGCTGCTGACAGGTGAATGGTTTGAACCTGCCACCTGCTCTGTGGGAGAAAGATGCGGCAGTCGTGCCTGTAAAGCTTTCCAGCCTCGGAAACTCTACGGGCAGTTGGACTCTCCTGGGGAGCTGTTATGAACTGAGTTGACTTAATGGCAGGAGCTGGGTGGGTGGTGGGCACACAGCGGGCTGATGGAGCAAAGAGCACGTGACTTAGGATTCTCTCTAGTGTGCATCCCTGCTCTGCCACGTACCAGCGATGCAACCTTGAATAAGTTATCTGTCTCAGTCTCAAGTTACCAATCTGTAAAATGGGAATAACGAGAGCATTCACTTTGCAGAACTGTTCTACAGATTTAAAAGTTAATGTCATGACAAGAGTCCAGAATGAAGGCTGCATAGTGGAGTGGACTTGGGGGGAGGGATTGCATAACAATGAAAGAATTTTTCTTTTACTTTTCAAAATGAAGGCTGCATAGTGGAGTGGACTTGGGGGGAGGGACTGTATAATAACGAAAGAATTTTTCTTTTACTTTTCAAAGAGCAGAGCGAACTGGGGTGGGGAGGTTGGGCAGGGAGAAAGTACAATAATGAATGAAGGGAAATGCTAAGTCTCTGTAAACTTTCATTAAAATGAATTTAAAAAACCTGCTAATTACAAAAAGGTTAATGCACGTGAGAGTCAGCCCTGAGCACAATGCTGGGCCCCAGCGAGCACCCAGAGGGAGCCGTGAGCATCACCTGTTATGATCAGCTTCCCTTCTCTGCACTAGAGCCCAAGTGGGCTGGGCAGGTGAGGAGGGGTGTTCACCTGAGGCAGGTGTGGATTGGTGTCCTTGAAGCAGGAAGAAGTGGGCCCGAGGCCCTGGGCCCCAAGACATTCTGCCCACCCTCTAGTCAGCCTTGGGAGAGTAAGCCTGTGGTTGATGGTATCAACTCTTTTTTGAGTTCCTGTTGCCCTGAAACCCACTGTGAATCAAAACAGTGCCGGTTCAGCAGGTCTTTACCAGAAACTCGCCCCACCACACAGCTGCACAGTGACACTGAGCTCCCTCCCATGGGGATGGGGTGGGGGTGGGCAGCGTCTCCTGACCTGCCCCCTGCAGGGCCTGGGTCGGGTCCATACAGGACATGAGCTGCCCCTGACAAGGAATACACAGGAAGTGAGGGTGGGGGGCAAAGAGCCAGGGAGAGGTCCTCACCAGCTGGTCCAAGAACGCATCAAAGCTGACACCTTCCTTCCTGTCACTGGGACAGACCCTCAGGAAGTTCCCCTGGTCCCCCCACCCCAAGGTTGCAGGAACATCTGCACCTCCTGTTCTGTGCCTCGAGTGGTCAGCGCCCCCCGCCATCAGCAAGGCCAGGCCCACTCACCTGCTGACACAGTAGAAGGCGACCAGCCTGAAGATGTCCTCGAACACGAGTACGGAGCCCTCCAAGAAGAGAACTGAAGGGAGAAGAGAAAGGCTTCGATGAGAGTCCTTGCTCAGAGGGGGCAGCCCTTAGCCAGGGCCAGGTCAGCTCACCGAGGGTCCCTGGCGCCTGGCCTGTCCCACCCTGCCCACATCTGCTGCAAATTGGACCTGAGGGAAATTGAACATTCACTGAGTTAGAGGAGTCCCTGAATGGGGCACATGTCTGTGAGCTTGGCTGCCGGCCAAAAGGCTGGAGATTCAAATCCAATCAGCAGTGCCTCAGAAAAAAAGTCTGGCCAGCTGCTCCCGAAAATCCAACCACAAAAAGCTCTAGACAGCGGAGTGTTCCTATTCCGCACGCGGGGGCCAGTGGGAATTGGAAAGACCTAACTCACAGCACCTGGGAATCAAGGTTTTAGGAAGATAATTTATGAAGCAGCCCCTATCACCTTCACTAGGACACCCAACTCAGACCCACCCATGGAGGGGATTCCACCGCCACCCCACGGGACAGAGTGGAACTATCGTGTCTCCAGGGCTGTCTGTCACTCCTGCAGTGGAGTAGAGGGTGGATGAGAACTGACAACTTTTTGGTTAACAGCCAAGAGCCGCTGCACGTCACAGCACCATGAGGGAGATGATAAAGCGTAGAACCAAACCCACTGCCACTGGGTCGATTCCCAGCAGCCACGGAGGGCTCCCTGGGCTGTGATGCATGGGAGTGGATGTCACACCTGCCTCCCAGGGTATGGCTGGTGGGCGCGAACTGCTGACCTCTCAGTTAGTAGCTCAACCCTTAACCACTAGGGCTCCCAAGAAATATACATTCACCTTATTTCAGTCCCATCCCCTCAAGGAAACAACATAAAGGATTCTTGGTTGACCACCAGATAGATGCTCTGCTGAAGAAGGAAGGCAATCTCCTCCTGTACCAGTCAGATCTGATTTGACAGTACACACACACACACACACACACACTCTCTCTCTCTCATAATAATAATAATAATAATAATAATAATAATAATAATAATACTAAAAAAACAAACCCAAGATTCTTAGTTGAAAAAGAGATTTTAAAATGCAATGGCTCAATGTTCTCTCATGGAAATCTTACACGTGGGCAGGTGGGCAGGGCTGCCCTGCTCTGCTTCAGCCTTGGGCAGCCATGTCAGTCCAGTGGGCAATGAATGGGGTTCACTGCCTTGTCACCTGGGAACCCCAGGACCATCACCATCTGGCTAGATATGGCTGGGTGACCAAGACAAGGTAAGGGTGCCCCTATATTTTACAGCTCTGACAAGGAAGAGAAATCAAAGACTTGAGGCTCTTTGGAGAGGCTAGGCACCAGGGCATTATGGTTAGTGTTTAGAGGCTGAGGCCCCGCTGACACATCGCATATGGCTGGTGAGCTTCAGGACAAAGAGCCCAGGGCAGAAGAGACAGTCCCAGGAGACCACATTGCTCTTCGAGGGTCCAGCAGGCGCCCATCCCCACAATCTTCTTCCCAGTGCTCTGGGCACCAGGGCTGGGCTCCCACCACGAACTTTCTTGGGCATCAGAGGAGCCAAGAAACACACAGCCACCACACCTCAGTTCCAGTTTCTTGAGGTTCTCCCAGCCTCCAGGTGGTGGCGGGGCGTGCAGGACCAGGTCCTAGGCCACGCTGACCCCAGGACTTGGGGCGACCTGCGAATGCCTTCCCCTGTCAGAGTCTCAGTTCCTCCACCTGCAGAGGGAAGGAGCCACCCCACTGTACAAACGCACGCACCGGGGGCCAGCAGGTTGCTCTCGGAGCCCAGCACAGCCTCCCGCTGGCTGCATGGGAGCTCCAAGATGGCCCCAGGAGTACAGAACCAATGGGCTCTTTGAATGGCTTTATTTCTTGATCCCCTGTCTTTCTACTTGCTAAGCAGAGTCTTAAATAGCATGATTTTTAAAATTTACACTCATTTACTTATGGCAAAAATGTGCCATAAAAAGTTTGATAAAGCACTGCTCTTTCTGTTGGGTGCCATGTGGTCATTTATGACTCACAGACGCCCCGTGAACAGCAGATCTGAGCCTGGCCCTAGCCTGTGCTATCACGACCATCGTGACATGCTTAATATCATATCAATATGCTCAGACGCAGAATCTCTGATATTCATTGTGTCAACCAACCTTGCTGGAGAGTTGGTCTTCTCTCTTTCTTTGACCTTTTACAGCATGATGTCCTCCTTTTCTAAGGACTGACCCCTCCTAACAACATGTCCAAAGTATGTGAGATGAAGTTTCACTATTGCCTTGAAGGAGCACCCTGGTTGGCCTTTCTCTAAGACAGACTTGTTTGTTCTTTTGATAGTCCAACACCATAACTCAACTTCTGTCATCCTTATTAATTTTCTGACTTTCATATGCACAAGAAGAAACACAGAAGAGCATGGCTTGGACCAGGTGCACCTTGGTCTTTAAACTGACATCCTTGCTCTTTCGAACTTTGGAGAGGTCTGTGACAACAGACTTTCCCCAGGCAACATGTCTTTTGATTTACTGACTGCTGTTACCCTGGATGTGGACTGCGGGTCTAAGTAAAATGAAATCATTGACAACTTCAGTGTTTTGATAAATTGGTGGGTTAGGAACCTCCACTGAGATGGACTTATGCCCTGGCTGTGACAGGGACCCAATCACAGCAGCCTTCATGAAGATAGCACAGACATGGGGAGGGCTTCATTTGGTTACAAATAAGGTTTCTGAGACACACCATCAACCCAATGTTGTTGTTTGTTGTTATGTGCCATCGAGTCGCTTGCGACTCACAGCGATCCTATGTACAACAGCCCTAAACTCTGCTCTGTCCTGTGCCAATCTGTCTCCGACACACCCATCCCGATTATCCCAGTTACTGAATCAATCCACCTCATAGAGGGCCTTCCCCTCCTGCGCTGTCCCTCCACCCTCCCAAGCATGATGTCCCTGTCCAGGGACTGGTCCCTCCTTGCATTTCCAAAGTATGTTAGACGAAGCCTCAGAATCCTTGCCTCCAAGGAGCAGCCCAGTTTAACCCTCTCCAGGACGAATCTGTTTGTTTTCCTAGCAGTCCATGGTACCCTCAATACTCTTCTCCAGCACCACAGCTCAAAGGCATCAATTCTCCTTCTATCCTCCTTAGTCATTGTCCAACTCTCTGATGCATAACAAGTGATAGCAAAGACCATGGCCTGTATCAGATGCACCTTAGTCTCCAGAGAGACACATTGCTCTTCAGAACTTCGGAAAATTCCCTAACAGCAGTCTTTCCCATGCAACACGTCTTTTAATTTCCTGGCTACTGGTGCCAAGAGTGTTGACTGTGAAAAATAAGCTGGGAAATAAGTGGGTAAAGACACTTGTGCCAAAGACAGGGACAACACTGATACTAATGGTTAACCCAACAATAAGGGATATATCTTTCACTTTTTCTGTAAAATGCTTGTCTGTCGGATACTTCTAAATATAAACATTCAGATTAAGATACACTAGGAAAAAGATTGGCCATCCACTTCTGAAATAGCAGACCTCTGAAAACCTATCAACCCAATGCATTTATCTATTACATTATGATGGATTAACAAAAAGGCAAGTTGAAAGAAATATGTTAAGTATATTATAGGGCAGGAGACCCTTACAGTGTGCCTTCAAATGACTTAATCTCAGAAACATCAGTCTGTCCTATTACCAAAACCCGCTTCTATCCAGTTAATTCTGACTCACGACCAATATTTTCATTTATATTCAATACAGGGACAACGGCAATCTTCACAGAAGCTGATTGCCAGGCCTTTCTTCCATGGCATTGCTGTTGTTATTATCAGGTGCCATTGAGTCAAATCATAGCGACCCTATGAACCACAGACATGTACTCTGTACCATCCCATGCCCTCCCCTCAATCTCTGACACCCTCAAGCCCATTGCTGCAGTCACTGTTGCCAACCCATCTCACTGAGGGACTCAGTCTCTTTCTTGGACCTTCCACTTTCCCAAGCATGATGTCCCTCTTCAACGACTGGCCTCTTCTAACAGTATTCCCAAAGTATGTGAGATGAATCTTTGTCCCCTTTGCCTCCAAAGGGCACTCTGGCTGCAGTTTCTCCAAGACATAGCCGTTTGTTATTTTGGCAGTCCACGGAATATTCAGCACACTTCGTCAATATCACAGCTCAAAGATATCAATTCCTCTGTCATCCTCATTCACTGTCCAGTTCCCAGATGCATAGCAAGTGACTGAAAAGACCTATGGCCTAAATCAGGCACACCTTAGTCTTTAAACTGACATCATTGCTTCTCAATAATTTGGAGAGGTATCTGACAGCAGCCTTGCCCAATGCAGTACGTCTCCTGATCTCCTAACTGCTGATACCAAGGATGTCGACTGTGGATCCCAGTAAGATCCATCTGTTGACAATGACAATCTTTTCTCCATCTATCATGAAGGAGCTTATTGTCCAGTAAAGAAGATGTCTGTTTTCTTTTTCTTTTTTAACATAAAACGTATTTTTTTATTGCTCTTTGTATGGATTTCTTAATTATTAAAAAATAAAACATTCTGAAAGACAGAATTTTCTAGACTTTTTTTTTCCTACCTAGTCTTATTCTCTAAGTTTATCCCCCATGGGTTACCATGTCAGTATATAAGATGTTGGTGACATAGCTACAAGCAATACACAATCCAGTAAACTATGGCAGACTAACGGTGCAAGTACCATAAAAACCAAGGTATCAAATGTTTCGTTAACTGAACCCAAAAACGTTTCTTTTGACTTCTTTTGTGTCCTTTGGTTCCTCTGCTCCCTTTCTTATTTCCATCCGTTTCTTGTTTTCCAATTTGATCTCTTGCCTCAACATATAGTCTTTCCCACAGATCTGAACGCTGCTGTTCGAAGATTAGCTTCTGCTCCAGCTCAGTGAGTCTTTCCCGTAAGGTTTCTATTTCCTTTTTTTCAGTCAGTACATTTTCTGTAGCAAGGGTCTTTTGCTTATCTATAAAAGACTCCTGTCCTTGCTGACATTGGGAAATATAATCCTTCATATCACTTAATTTATCTTCACGGTTTTTGACCAACTGTTGATGTCTCAGAACCTGAACTATACCACAGATATACCCAGATTCCAGGATGATGGCAATCACCAAAGCAAGCATGACACATTTCTTAAGATCACTACTGAAATGGCGCTTATCCAAGTTCTCCTTGCAAGGTTCGGGCGCCTGTTCAGCAGGCGGTCCCTCTTCAGCAGGACTGGGCTGATGACTAATTTCATCACTACTTGATTCATCATCATTATGTTGAGATGAAAATGCAATTTCTGGCTGACAGAATGTATACTGGCTGCTAAAGGAAGAAGCCATGTGAAAGGTTTCTGTGCTCTCTGCTTCCTCAACAATTATAGCTTCTTCCTGAATTCCAACTTCTTCTAACTTAGGTGGCTCTAGGGTAACAGTGTCAGAATCATCACTGACAGTTCCAAAGTAGATAATGTCGTCTTCAAATGGTGTTTCTTCCTCTGCTTCAACTGCTGACTTGGTTTCTTCCACAGCTGGATGAGCAATTTCTCCCATCACCGTTGTGTCACTCTGGCTGTTTACACCTGGCAACACTTGAACTTCCTCGTGCTCAAAAGACGAACCTTCTAGAACAAGCACCCCACTGTCATTGGCCACACCATGTTCAGAATTCACCATCTCAATATCAGATCCCTCATAACTGATGAGAGTCCAATCACAAGATGAATCACTGTCACTGGAATTGGAATTTTCAGCCATTTTTCAGGTATCTGAAAGAGCAGAGCTACCTCCGCCAGAATACGCTAGCTGTCGTGGTGGCGGAGAGCACAGCTAAGATGTCTGTTTTCTTGATGTTAAGATGTAATCCATACTGAAGGCTGTAGTCTTTTATCTTCTGCAGCAAGCGCTTTCAGCTCTGCTTTTCAGAAAGCAAGGCTGGTGTATAATATAGGTTGTAGAGAAATCTTTCTCTGATCCTGATGTCACAGTCATAGAGTCCAGCTTCTCAAGTGATTTTCTCAGCATCAGATTGAATAGGTATGGGGAAAGGATACAGCCCTGACAGCACTCCTAGGTTATGATCAAACTGTCCACCTTGTAGGATAGTGGTCAAGCACGTGTGCCATCCAGGTACCAGCCTGTGTGACCATGGCGCCACCTAGCGTTGCATTTGACACAACATCTATTTTCTCTACAAGGAGGAGGGTGGACGGATGGCAGTGGCTGAGGGCTGTAATGTCAGGTGCTAGGGGCCCATCGATAACCCGACAGAGATCAATTTTATTCAGACACACAAAGGGTAGATAAGAACTGGAATGAACTCGATGGCAATTGGTCTGCTCTTTTGGTTTGTCTCTGCTCAGGCTTTGCTCACAGCTCAGGCAATGTCCTAAGAATGCGATTCTGCGCCTCCAGCCCAGCTCTGGGTCTGGCGTCTGTCCCAACGCCTTTATAAGCATTCCTAGGCCTCTCCAGGGAAGCTGCATGCACATGTGCCATGCAGAGTGTACACCTTCTTGCATCAGAGAAACCTTGCCCACGGCTTCCTATGGTGAGTGGGAGGCTCGGGAGGGCGGGTCTGGCTTTGCTGGCACCTGCATGGAGCCAGGCAAAGTGAGGCTCTGTGCAGAGCGGCCGTGGGTGTGGAAATCAACAGTGGAATTTACAGAGATTGAAAGCAGGCTCGTGGCTGCTGCTCAGGGCTGCGGGGGAAGTGAGATAAGAGCTGAGAGCTAACATGTACAGAGTTTCTTCCCAAAGCATGCAAAGACTTTAAAATCCACTGTGACTTCTCAGCCGTGAACAGACTAAAAGCACTGAACTGTACACTTTCAGTGGGTGAACCGTTACGTTTGTTGCTGTTGTTGTTCGCCACAGGTGCGTCAGTCACCTCCTGGACTCATGGGGACCCTTGCATAACAGAACTAAACACTGCCTGGTCTTGTCCTATCTCCAGGATCAGCTGTGGACAGAGTGTCAGTGACCCACAGGGTTTTCATGGTCTGAATTATGGAAGGCTATTGCCAGACCTTTCTTCCTAGTCTGACTAGTTTGGATGCTCCACTGAAATCTGTTCAGCATCATACGAGCCTCTACTGACAGACTGGTGTGCCTGTGCTGTGCTGACTGTGGATTGAACCCAAACCTCCTTCCTACATGGAAGCTGAGAATTCTACCCCAAGCCACCACTGTCCCAGTTGAAAACATGAGGTAAGCAAATTATTTCTCAAGAAACCTGCTATTAAAATACAACAGGACACAAACAGGGTGGACTGAACCTCACTTCTGCATTATGCTCTTCTGGGAACACGTATGACTTCTGTAAGCAGAAAGAAGGAGCCCTGGTGGCACAGAGATCATTAAGTGTTGGGCTGCCAACCAAAAGGTGGGCGTTTCGAATCCACCTGTGGCTCCCAGGAGCACGATGAGGCAGTGTTCTCTCCTCAGGATCTACAACTTGGGAAATCCACGGAGTAACCATGAGTTGGACCCAGCGTGATGGTAGTGAGTTTGCTTTGTATAAGCAGAAGTACAAAGGGTTTTGCTGTAAAGCTGGTCAGTTTCCAATGCTCTCAGCTTGCTCAGATTCATATCTGCTTACAGCTTGGCCAGCCATGACTAACAGCTCCTACACTTCTCACTGCTGAGGGGACCACATCACCCCTTACTCTGCCCAAGTCGCTTCTGAAAGATCCTTGGGGACTTCTGTGTCCACCTCTGTCAATAGCCAGGCAGTAGCCTCTGACAAAGCAGGACTCATGCTAAGGGGACCTCCTAAGTCCTGCAGCAGAACCTCCTTGTCCTGTCCAAACCAGCTCTCAAAATGGGTGAGAGCCACGTGCCAGCTGGCTGAAGGCAGCCAGGTGCTTCAGTGACAAGGTGAGCATGAAGGGACTCGCTGCCTCTGCTGCCGGAGGGAGACCATCTACCTCTCCCCATCTGGGTCTGGTCAGCACAGGTGGGGTGTGGGGCAGGGGAGCTGACTTCCAGCACTAACAGCCCCTCCCCAGGCCCGAGACATCATGAAACCTGTCAGGGTGATTCCAATTTAGACACCCTGTGGAACAGAGAACTGACACGTAGGGTTCCCAGGAGCACTGGTGACCTAGGGGTAAGAAGCTGCACTGCAATCTCAAAGGTACATGGTTCAATCCCATAGGTGTGCTGTGGGAGAAAGATTGGTAATCTCCTCCCATGTGATTTATTGCCTCTAAAAACCCACTGGTGGGTCAGCTATGAGTCAGTCCCAACTCAATGGTATATAACAACAACAACAACAACTGGTAGCCTAGTAGGTAGGGAGGTGTGCTCCCAACCCAAAGGTAGGGGTTTGAATACACTAGGTGCTCCAAGGAATAAAGATGTGGGATCTCCTCCCATACAATTTGCAGCCTCTGAAAACCTGGTGAGGGTTCAGCCGTGAACCGGTCCCAAGTCCACAGCAATGAGAGAATCTTTAGGGGAACCATCCCGTCTCACTCCCTTGAAGCTGTGGTGAATTCCAACCACCTACGTTTCAATTTGCAGCACAATGCTTACTCCACCGCACCACCAGGGCACCTGTGCCAACCTGTTAGAAACTTGTTTTGTCATTTGATAACACAAATGACCCACCCAGGGCAGAGACAGGGCGTGTTTCTTGTTCTCCACTGTACCCCAACATCTAGGGAGATGTCTGGGATGATGTGGACTCCTAACTATTTGTTTACATTTTCCTTTTAAAATACGTCTAGGTTCACAGGAAATGATGGAGCTGTACGAGGAAGTCCCCTTCAACCAGGTGCCTCCACTAAGAACATTGTGGACAACAAAGGGACAGACGCAGGAGGGTGAGACTGGACAGTCCAGAGGACCCAAGGAGACGTCACCAGTATAAACTGGCCGCACATGCGTACTTGTGCGTAGGCGCACTAAAGTGCATGTGCATTCGTGTAATAAGCGCACGCGCATTAGTGTCTGCGTGTGAGCAGAGCACTTTGGCTGTGTGTGCAGCTGTGCAAGCTCCCCTCCCAATCAAGGGCACGATTACATGACAGTACGTGGGGCTACCCTCACCCACCTCGTCTCGAGCCTCTGTTTCCCTCACAAATGTGACACAGACAGGGTCATGGGTGTGTGGCCTTCGGAGCATAGCTTTTACACACTCGCCATTCTCTCCTTTGATTTCACCCGTGTTGTCTATACCAGCACTTGGTTCCTGGCTCTGGAGTTGTGGTCCATAGGCAGCTGCGCTGCTGACCCTGAGGTGGCCTCTGGGGAGGTTCAAACCCACCATCAGCTCCTCGGAAGAAAGATTGACAGCCTTACGCAATGCCAGTGAGGGGGTCAGATCGGACTGGACGGCGGTGAGGTTTGAATACTGGGGCGTATTCCACAGATGGAGAGACTGCAGTTTGTTCAGCTATTCACCCACTAAAGAACCTCTGAGTAGTTTTCCGTTTTGAGCTATTTTGCCTTGAACTGAATACTCGTGGTGCCAATTTGCGAGCAGCTGTATTCTCCTGGGTCTATCTAGGAGAGGAATTGCTGAATCATATGCTAACTCCGTGTTTAGCGTTTTAAGAAATTGCCTGTTCATTTTCCTAAAAGAGCTGCATCATTTAATATTCTTAGCAGCTGTGGAGGCAAAGATGATGCAGCTTCATCTCACATACTTCCTGCATGTTGCTAGAAAACGCTATTCCTTGGAGAGGGGAATCACGCTTGGAAAGGTGGGGGCATGACAAAACAGAAGAAGACCCTCAATGAGATGGATTGACACGGTGACTGCAGCCCTGGGCTCCAGTGTGTCAGACGGTGAGGATGGCACAGGAAAGGACAGGTTCAGATCTGTTATGTGAGTCAGACTCACCATAATGGCACCTAACAACAACAATAAGAAACAGCCAATAAGAGTTTCTCCACATTCTGGTCAAACCCAGCCTTTTGTTTGCATGTTTGATTTATTTATCATTTAAAAACCTATTGGGATTTGAGTGAAATTCTCCAAAGCATACTGGTTTATTAGCAAGGGTTCATTACCTGCTTATTAATTTTTACACCCCTTTTCAAAGTTCTAAAGAGCAATGATGTCAGTTTAAAGACTGAGGTGTGCCTGATCTAAGCCACAGTATTTTCAGTGGCTTCCTATGCATCTGAAAGTCGGACAGTGAATAAGGATGACAGAAGAACTGAGGCCTTTGAATTATGGTGTTGAAGAAGAGGACTAAACATTTCATGGACTTCAAAAGAAAAAAACAAGTTGTGTCTTGCACAAAGTATAACCAGGAAGTTCCTTAGAGGCAATGAAGGTGACACTTCATTTCACAAACTTGGGACATGTTGTCAAGAGGGACGAGTCCTTAGAAAAAGATATCACGCTGGGAAAGGGTGAGGGTCAGAGAAAGAGAGGAAGACACTCAACAAGACGGACTGACTGCACCAATGGGCTCAAGCGTGGCACAGATTGCAAGGATGGAGCTGGAAGGGACAAGGGCCAGCTTTGTTGTTTACAGGGTCACTATGAGTCACAGCAGTCGACTCCATGGCACTTAATGACAATCCCTTCCCTTCCTCTCACTGGTAACCATGCAAGAACAATTGTACTGGATATGAAGTGGTATCTCCCTGAGGTTTTAGTTTGCATTTCCCTGATGATTAATCATCTTGAGCACCTTTTCATATGCTGATTTGCCACCTGTGTGTTTCTGTGGAGAAATGGATATTTTCCAAAGGGTAGGCTCTGGTGGCCTAGCGGTAAGGCCCTGCGCTGCAATCCC